GCTGCACGAACCAATGAAGCTTCAACCTGCCAAAAGGGGTGGAGCCGACTGCTATATAAGTTGGCTCTGAGTGGCATTTCATCAGAATTTTTCGACTGAAACGACAACGCTCATTCCCTTATCCTCGAACGGTCTCTCCCATTGCGTTAACACGCTTATGGGGAACCCATCCAATCACACTGTACTACAAGCAAGTGCAGAACGAAGCCGCTCTGCGAGCCCAGCCCCGGTGTGCCCATACTGAGGGCTCCTGTAAACCTGAGCTAATAATAAGACCCAAGCCGCTAGGCTGAGAACTACATAACATGATCTTTCCCACTTACAAAAAAGGGGTTAGGTAGATTAAGCGGACAAAATCAGTGCCTGCAGGGCAGGCATGTCCAAGTATTAAACCATGGTGAATGTAGACGGCGACGACCAGCTGGCAGCTGCACAGATATCACCAATAGAAATCCCGCTGGACCAAGCCCAGGAGGAGGCCACTCCTCTGGTGGAGTGGGCCCTCACACCTATAGGGCTCTGCAAGCCCGCTGAGGCATAAGCCAGGGCTATAGCATCCACTATCCAGCAAGATACCCGGCAGCCCTTTAGAGTGGCTTCCAAAGCATACAAAGAGCTGCTCTGAGTACAGAAACGGGCCAGAGCGCTCAACATACACTCTAAGAGCCCAAACCAGGAAAAGTGGATTAGGAACCTGCTCACCTTCTGAGTTGGGGAGCGCTAGGAGGGTAATGACTTGTGCTCTGAATGGAGTGGAGAGCACTTTTGGCACATATCCGTGTCTTTGTTTGAGGATGACTCTACAGTAGTTGGGCCCAAACTCAAGACAGGAAGCAATGAGTGACAGTGCTTACAGGTCACCCACTTGCTTGACCGATGCTAAAGCTTAAAGCTTACGTCTTAAGCGTCAGGGGCCCTGAGGACTATAGATAAGTCCCAAGTCGACACAGTATGAGGGTGAGGCGGATTCAGTCTCCGAGCTCCCCTCAGAAACGTTTCTGCCTATTGACTGGCCAGCCACGATAGAATGATGCTCTTTTTAAAAGCCGGATGGCCGCAGGGGAAGGCGTCGAGCTTCTTCTGCTTCCTGTGGCTTCTTCTCACGTCGACGAGCAGCAAGCGGAGATTCTTTCTTCTTCGTCTTCGGCTTCTTGTTTGCAGAGTCAGCGAGGAGATGATCTTCGTCGCTGAAGGAGAAAATTCTGATGAAATGAAGCACCATTTGTTCGTGCAGCTACATGAATGTTATCAAATCAGGCTTCAGTATCATAGTTTCCCCATAGCGTGATTAACGCAACGGGAGAGACCGTTTGAAAGGGAACACAGAAATTGTGTTTTCACAGTCATTTTATGATATTACGCACTATTACTGCAATAAACGTCATCACATTCATTCATTTGAAGAAGCTGCACAGACGTACTTGAAATGTGGCAATCTGAAGCATCTCATTCACTTCCCAGGGAACCGGGTTACATGCATAACCCTGAGAAGTTCCCTCCGAGGGAACTTAAATTCTGTGTAATGTTGTTGACACTATTGGCACATTACTACCTGAGCTGCCATACTGAAGCGATGCCTGCCCCGCAAGGTTGTGAAAAGTATTATGCACAAAATCCTGTGAGCTGCCAGAATGAATCAACCTGAAAGGACATCCACACTATAAAACCTAATGAAATATCCAGCCCCAATGGAGCTGGTGGTGTGTGGGCAAACCGGAGGGGACAGTGGGTGGACTTCCTTGGAGATGAACATGTCCATTGCCCGTATCCCTGCCAAATCAACTCCACCACATCTGGGAGGAGTCTCCATTGCCCAGGACTCGGCCCCTGTTGCTATGCACCTAACTATATCCTACATAAAAATCTATATTTTCACAAGTTGTGCTGTGAGTAACTTGTATGCAGATGTAAACTATGTTATGCAGATCACTTGTCAAATAAATAAATTAACTTGAGATATTAATTTGACTTAAATGTAGTGATTGCAGAGTTATCCAGAGACATGCAGCATAGGTGAACTGACAACACTAAATTGTCCATACGTGTGAAAAGTGTGTGTGTGTGTGTGTGTGTGTGAGAGAGAGAGAGAGACCCTGTGAAGGACTGGCCATCTGTCCAGGGTGTTTCCCCCCTGAAGCCCAAGATGCTGGGATAGACTCCAGCATCTCCACGACTCTACAGAGAATAAGTGGTTTGGAGAACAGATGAATATATATTTGTACAGTTGTTAGAACTTCCACTAATAGTTAACTGTAGAAAAGAAAATGTGTCTATAATAGATAAAAAGGACAAGAGGTTTTTAGGCACCTGACACCAGTACCTTTTGTAAAATAAATATGCAAAACAATAGAGTTTTATAGAATTTTATATTATAGTGATGCCTAGCATACCTTAAGCATCTTAATAGTGCAGTGCAAGGTGCTTGATCATACTTCAGTTTTTGGTGCCTGGACAGAGAGAATGAGTTGGTGAATGAGTGTATGGCCTAGAATGTGCAAAAGTTTATTTGTTAGAAATTCTGATGTGTGCATGGAAAATGATGTACACTCATTTATTTATATAACACTTTTCCTAATACACAATGTTTCAAAGCGGCTTTACAGAAAGTCAGACTGTTATGTCTATAATACCTTATTGCCCTGACTTAAAACTTGCCCTGTGGTAAAGCACTATGATGCATATATAATGATGTATAATATATAATGATGCTATGAGTGATCCTCCAGATTTAGATCTAGCTGTATTGTATTATAGTGTTGCGTCAGTTGTATCAGTGGTGCAGTGACTCACGTCTGAGTGTTCAAAGGCAATACTGGTCAGTTAGCGATTCTCAAAAAGTATTAATGAAATTAAGATCAGTTGTCGCAGCTAAAAAGTCTGATGCTCAGGCACACGCCTAAGAATTGAAATGTATTATTGTGTTTGTATATGTAACATTCATACATAAGGCCCCTTCAGATACATTTAAGAACCAGAAAATAATTGTCAGTGTGTGATCATGTTAAAGTACACATTGTGTTTAAAGAGTAGTCACAAACACATGCTAAGTATATACTGGAAACACTACTTGTTGTAATTTACTATTTGTTGTTCAGTTTGCTTTATTTTGTATCTTACCTAAGCTAGATTATGAGTCCAGGTCTTGCTCTGGAGATTTTGCATGCTTGAAATGTGTCAGTGAAATGTGACGTTTGCATATGTTTTGTGTGCTTGCATCAAAAGCCTGTGTCATATGGATGTGAAATGTCCAAAACCTCAACAGACCTGTGCATATGGTCTCTTTTGCCTCATGATGGTGCTATAAACTTAAAATCTTACAGAATGAGGAGTGTGGCATTTAAATGGAAGTGTTTTCCAAATGAAACAAAAGCGCTGTTCGTTTTTAATGCTGTGTGTAATGTGAAGAACTGTGTTTAGAGTTTTGCTTAATGTGCTTGTAGTTTTGCAGACTTGGTCTAAAGATTAGGTATATGAGTCAATGCTTTCACCAAGTACCACTTTTAGTGTCTAAGCAATTTAAAAAAACTCTGTATCATCAAGGCAGTCAAAAGTTTGATATTGATAACATTATGAAAGACAGTTCCTCTGAATGAAATATTTATATAGATGAAACGCATATTATGTGTATTGAAAAGGATTTGTTATTTTGTGTTTTGTACCAATGCGTTTGGAATAATGCTGAAATGTTTGAAAAAAGAGAATTTTTGACAATCTGTTGTGAGATTAGTACTTATTTGGTCCTTACAATGGAACATAGTAGTCATCATCCAAGTTAAATCACTTTTGGTTATCTGCACTGGAATTTGCAAAAAAGTTGATTAATAGAATATGAATATATATATATATATATATATATATACTGAACAACAT